GTGGGTGGGGTCCACTCTCTTCCTCCTGTGGTTCAGGGGCATTGGGGAGGGAAGATGGGCAAAGGCCTTCATTTAGTTCACAAGGGCAAAGGAGTGACTTCCAGAGGCCAGTTGTAGGAGGCTGAGGAGCCACTTCCTCGGATGTGTGGACCCACTGAAGATCCGGGCAGCCAGAGTATTTGAACTGAGAGCACAAGTCTCAAGCCGAGATAAAAAAATGGTGACGTGGGGGTGTGGGGGAGCGCCTGGTTGGCGCAGTCGGGTAAGCGGCCAACTCTTGGTTTCGGCTCAGGTCATGATCTCAGGGTTGTGGGATCGAGCCCCACGTCGGGCTCTGCACCCGGCGTGGAGCCTGCTGGAGATTCTCTTCCTGCCCTCTGCCCCTCCTCCCACTCTCTTTCTCTCTAAATAAAATCTTTTAAAAAATAAAAACAAAGAGAAATGGTGACACGGGGATGGGGTGGTAACTTACCATGAAGACCTGGTCTCCTTCGCCTCCGTGCCCCGGTCCCCTGGCACAGCCCCAGTGTGTTCGCAGCAGCACCAGCAGCAGCACTGCGGCCCGCCCGGACTCCATGCTGCCATCCGCCTTCCCGCAGCCATACGCGCCTCTTATCCCTGCTGTGGCCCGGTCCCCCCACCCCGCAGCAGCCTGAGGGGGAGTCCGGAGCAGGCAATGGAAAGGCACCGCTCCATCAGGAGCCGCCTGGGATCCCCTCCCATGGCACTCCCGGGACTTCCTGCTCCCAGCCTCCAGCCCCCAGCCCTAAGCCTGGAGTTACAGACTTTATTAGATGCATAAATCCTGTCTCCAGAGCTCAAGAAGCATCATTAATTGCGGACGCTTTGTCAGAGCCAGGCCCTGGGGGCCTTCAAGAACCCCCAATCCCTCCACAGGTTGGAGAGCTCCAACTGATCACCTCCTCTCTTTCCTAACTTGGAGAATAAAAGCATAGAGGAAGTCCTGTCAAGAAGGTCTAGGCACTATGTCTTGGAACAGAGGGAAGGTAGGAAGAGCCACAGGGTTAGAGCGAGCCAGGATGACCCTGCCTGGTCCCTCTCGTGACTGTGGCTGCAGTCAGGGTCACCCAGACCATTCACACCCTTGCCGATGTCTGCCTTGGGGGGGTTAAAAATGGAATCACTCCTCAGATTTGCCTGTGGATAGAAAAGTGGGATGTAGGAGGAGACCAAAAGGTTTCAGAGCTCACAGAAAGTGGGGATCGCTTCCAATCTTTGTAGACAAACCCCGTGTTCACGGGAGAGCCCTGCTCAGGACCTGCCCCCCCCCCCCCCCCCCGGGCTTCTGGAGCCAGCCTCTGCGGCTGAAGCACTGCTGCCACCCTGTGGCCACAGCTCTGCACTGTCAGAGCCGGCCATTTCCTTTTTCTGCTCTGTGAAGGGTGAGGGTAGTCGGAGGTTCTTAACGCCCGGACTCTAAGGGGTCCCCGAAAGGCAGGGGCAGGATCTGGGGTTGGTATCTGGTTTCGTCCACCTCCTTCTAGTCACCCTGCCTGGTTCTGACCCGTTAGGGCAGGTGACAAGAATCTTGGCTTTTTAGGAAAAAATCATTTTCCCTCAAGAGAGGAGGTTTTCCTTCTGATCCTAGAATCCCTTCCTCAGCCATCACTGCCCCCCCACCCCCTGCCCTGCCACCCCCTGTGTGGTTCTCTAGCCTATGCTGGAGAGGTGCCATGGCATCAAGAGCCTGTGGATCAGTCTTGGGCAAGCAAGCTCTCTAAACTGCAGTTTCTTCACCTAAAACATGGCAACATTAAAAGGAACTACTTTCTAGGGTAAAGCATTATTTGAGATCCTTTTTGTAATCCACTCAGCACAAGATATGGCACAGAGCAAGCATCCTCAAAACATTAGCAGTGCTGATCCTTGCACACATGAGCCCCAGCGAACTTTCCATCTGCTGAGACAGTGATCGGGCAGATTTATCCGGGCACCAAGCTGGTTTCCATCTCCTGTGGCCTCCACCATGGGATTCAGTTTGCCCCATTAAGTCACGGAACACTGCACATCTTTCATGTGTGCAAGCCTTTCACATATTTGAAGACAGATGTCCCTCTTCCACTCTTTTCTTGTTAAGGGGATCCCTGCTCCCTTTAAAGCAAGGCATCTAGAAACCAATTTATAACTTTGGATAGGTAGGTTAGAGTGGCTTTCCATCTGGATGTTTTAGATACTAATCCGGCCTAAGCTAGGGTGAACCCTTCTGTATGCTTTGTCCCCCAGCTGGTCCCAAGCACAGAACCTGACGCTCCTCATCCCTAAATCTTGGAATTTCACTGCTTCTTAAAAGGGATGATCCAGTCCACCGGCAGATGGTTTTTCTGTGGGAAATGGATCCTGTACCACTTCTCTGTTCTCCCCTGACAGAAGTCCAGAGGAGCAGGGTTGTGAAGGGGTGTGGGCCTCTAGATTGCACAGAGTGGCTCTGGGCTCAGACAGAGCTGTTTTCATCCCAACTCCTGCACGTCACCGTGTGCCTCGGGCAAATGTCTCAAACTAAACCTCAGTTCATCTTAAATGAGGCAACTATTCCTGTTTATCAAGAGGTTGCTGCGAACAGTAAATGACTTAATGAATACAAAGCATCTAGTGTTCCATCTAGCAGAGCAGCTAATAAATGTTTGCCACCCTGACTCTCCTAGTATCTCTGATCATCAATTACAAGTGGACCTGAGCTGAGGCTCAATTCAGCAAGGGTCTGGTCTAGCTAACTCCCTATGTCCAGGAGGGAGGGGACCACTCTCTCCTTTGGTAGGTATAGGCACACCTTGGAGATATTGCTGGTTCAGTTCCAGACTACCACAATAAAGCAAGGAACACAATAAGGAGAGTCAAATAAAATTTTTGTTTCCTAGTGTATATAAGTTATGTTTACACTATACTATAGCCTATTAAGTGTGCAATAACATTATATCTGAAAATAAAAACACAATAATGTGCATACCTTAATTTGAAAATACTGCTTAGGGGCGCCTGGGTGGCTCAGTCAGTTAAGCGTCTGCCTTCGGCTCAGGTTGGGATCGCAGGGTTCTGGGACCGAGCCCCACGTCGGGCTCCCTGCTCTACGGGGAGAGCCTGCTTCTCCCTCTCCCTCTGCCACTCCCCCTGCTCTCTCTTGCTCGCTCTCTCAAATAAAATCGTAAAATAAAATATTACTTAAAAAATGCTATCATCTGAGCTTTTAGCAAGTCGTTATTTAAAAAAAATTTTTTTAAAGTAAGCTCTACACCCAATGTGGGGCTTGAACTCAGGACTCTGAGATCAAGAGTCCCATGTTCTACCGACTGAGCCAGCCAGGCACCCTGCAAGTCATAATCTTTTTGCTGGTGGAGGTTCTGGCCTTGATGTTGCTCACTGCTAAGCGATCAGATTGGTGGGTTACTAAAGGGTGGGGTGGCGTGGCAATTTCTTAAAATTGACAATGAAGTTGGGTACATCAATTGGCTCTTCCTTTCACAAACGATTTCTTTGTAGTGTGTGACACTGTTTGACAGCTTTAACACACAGACTTTTCAAAATTGGAGTCAAACTTCTCAAACTCAGCCGCTGCTTTATCAACTAAGTTTCTGTAATACTTTTTTTTTTTTTTTTTTTTTTAATTTTAAGTCATCCCTACACCCAACGTGGGGTTGGAACTCACAACTGTGAGCTCAAGGGTTGTGTGCTCTTCTGACTGAACCAGCCAGGGCCCCTATAATATTCTAAATCCTTTGTCATTTCTAGTCTTCACAGCATCTTCACTAGGAATAGATTCCATCTCAAGAAACCACTTTCTTTGCTCACCCATAAGAAGCAACTCATTTGTTCAAGTTTTATCATGAGATTGCAGCAATTCAGTTACATCTTCAGGCTCGACTTCTAAATCTAGTTCTCTTGCTATTTCCACAACTACAGTTACTTCCTCCACTGAAGTCTTGTACCTTCAATTTGTAAAAACAACAAAACACACACACACACACACACACGCACGCACGCTATCTTGTTGCAATAAAACAAGATAGGCCTGCAGTGGGAATGAGTTAATTATTCTAGAACTTGGGAAACTACCCTACCTTCAGTCTCCTCTCTTCCAAAACATCTCAATCTTGGCTTTGGTATTTGGCTTTCAGCAAAGACCAAAGAAATACTTACTTTCTTACCCTTCTCTGGAACCCCATGTGCTCCTGACCACAACACAGTGAAGATCACCACTCCCTTTCCCACTGTCCTCCAGAGACTCAGTTTCCCTACTTGTGTCAATTATTGCAAACACCAACCGCAAACAGCTTCCGTGTCACTCCTCTTCTACTGAGAAAAATTCAGAGGCACCTGCTACCTCCTGGTCAAATTCTTCAGCCTGGCTCACTCTTCTCACCTGTGCTAATTATCTAGGGATACAGATTGCCCTACCCCTCGCCATAGTTCCTGACCATTACCTGTTTTTCTTGTGACTCCTACCTGCTTCTAAACAAGCTCCACCCCTCATTTCCAGAGCAAGCTCTTCCCCACATCCACAGAACTGGCAGAATCATAGAATGCTTCACTTTCTCTCTGTTGTCTATGTGTGCACTCCCCCAGTCATGCCAGAAACTTCCTGAGAGTAGGGCTTGTTTTGGTGTTTGTTGGGAAGAAGGAGGGGACAAAACACTGAAAGAGAAGAGGCCGCTTGCCTTCAGACACCCTACCATCCCCTATCCACATAAAGCGCAAGAGTTCTGCAGTGAGGCTCCCAGGATGCCGAGGGCCCTTGTCCCCAGGGCAGTGCACAAATCTGAGCCCTGGTCTCTGTGCCTTCTTTCATGTTCTGTAATTTATATAAACCACCTACCTTCTTTAGGCTGTGTCTTCCCTGCATAAGAAGGAGGGATAAGAATCCCTGCTCCTTCTGTCCTCAGAAATGGGAGAGCAAGGAAGAGCACAGACATGAAAGCCCAATGAGTTCCCAGAAAGAGCGGCCAATGGGACTTGTAGATGAGAGTACTGAAGCATTAGACATAACAGTGGTTCTCTTGATAGTTTAATGTTATATTTGCAGCATAAATAAGGCACAATATATGTCAGGGCGAGGGGGAGCGGGAGAAGGCATGGCTGGGGGGATAACTGCTGGGTGGTAAGGGGGATTGGAGAGGGGAGGAGGAGGGAGAAGAGAGTGAAGCCTCTGCCTCAGCCCATCCCAGGAGATTGTGAGAGCCTGCTCACAGGGATCATGCTGAGTTGGGTGGCAGGGAAAGGGACGAGACAGTTTTGTAACAAAACAGCCTGTAGCACTACATCCTTGCACATGTCAAAGTCCACCCCTGGGGACTGGAGGAGACCCAGACCCAGAGTTGCGTTTCTTGATGAGATGGAGAGGCGCTGCTACATGTCAGAGAGATACAGATGAACAGAGATATAACCATAGATACACACGGCTTTCTTGCAACAGATACTATGTAAGGAGGCAGCAGCCTCAACTGTTGGGGCTGGAGGCTCATCTCCCTGCCAGAAAGGGGTGTGTAGATGTGTGTGTATGTGTGTGTATGTGTGTGTGTGTGTGTGTACAGGACAGCTAGAGCTCCAGCCGGTCCTTCCTGTAACAAAGAATGTGGAGTGACCAGTCTGCAAGGGAATATGGGACAATTCCTGTCCAGACCAAAGCAGGACAGGTTTTAGGAGGAAGTAGAAGGAAGACAAACCTAGATTTTGAGATGAATGACGTGGTTGTTGTTTTAATGGGGGTGGAGAGAGGGACTGGAGGAAATGGAAAAATGTGTTAGTGCTCAGGCAGAGGATGGTACTTAAAATATCCCTGACACCCTGCAAGGATGTCCCAGCTTGCCCCTAAGGAAATGGTTCTCACACTTTAGTGTGCATTAGAATCACGTGGAGTGCTTGTTAGAGCCCAGCCCGAGTTTCTGATTCAATAGGTCTGTGGTGGGGCCAAACGTGATGTCTAACAAGCTCCCAGATGCTGGTGCTGCTGGTGCCATACCGGTCCTGGACCACATCCTGAGAACTACCACCCTAAGGGAAAGCCAACGGAACTGGTGCTCCTAGCCATTTCTTACAGCTGAAACAGCACTCACCAGTAGCTAATGGTGGTGAGACAGCTCTGTGCTACCAGCTCCCCATTAAAAAAATAAAATAAAAACCCTAGCAGCTAAATACAAACCTGCACCTACAGAGGACATAGCCGCCTTAACCTGCCCTACTCTCCCCAGCTTCTTCTCAATCTGGGGTAGCATTTTACCCCAAAGAGCGACGAACGACCTGGTAACGGGGTGGGAATGGTGGCCAGCAGCTGATGCTCATTCCTGCTGGGCCACCACTCAGGGGTGGGTGGGTGGGTGGGGATTTATGTCTGTGTACATGCATGTGTGCAAACACAAACAGAGAGAAATCAGTTCTATACTATGAGAGGGATGGTTAGGGTTGTGGGAGGCTGAAGTAGGAAGGGGGATCCTCTACTCTGCCTTAGGACCCTCGCCTGTCCTGTTCCTCCCTCCGCCCCTGTCAAACAAAAGTCTAAAGAAAGCAGAAAGAGCATATCAACAAAGGCATATGTGATATAACTAGGAGGACTGGATTCTAAACGGACTGGTTATGAAATTAAAGAAAAAAAAAGAATACATTTCCTTCCTGTGTATACAATGTACAATATTAATGAAAAATAATGATTTGGGGATGGGAAGGAAGTCATGAAAGAAAGAGGGAGCTTTCGGGGGGAAGGGCGGTCTCAGGGCTAGCACCTTTAAAGGAGCCTCTCAGTGTGGAGCACGGGAGCCTCAGAAACCACAGGAGGAATATTTTGGTGTCTGCTTGGTGGTTCAGGCTATAGACAGGGCATGGTTATAGTTAAGTACCCTGTCAACCAGGATGGGTGGTGCTGGAGGGCAGTGAATCAGGATAGGAGCCAAGAACAACAGAACAGGCACAGGGGAGGCGGCAAGGTGAAAGAGGTTCAGTGAGGCCATCTCCTTGTTTACCACTACCAGGAGTATATGGTCTAGTGCTCAGGGCCAAGGAGAGGAGTGGAGGCTGAAGGAAGCCAGATTTGGGGCATACAACCAACAGGGAAAGAGTAAGGGAGGGCCTATTTTTCTAGCTTTCTTTAGCAGTGAGGGAAGCTTTCCTAGACTTTTCAATTCCGAGCAAGCTTTCTTTGAAAGGACTAGGACAAAGTCTGCAAGACTGCAAACCTGGTCTGGTACCTTTCTCTATGGCCTTGGTTATCTACCAGCTGTCTCTCTCAGATGAGGCGGGAGGCCGGAGTCTTGTGTTCACTCAGAAGAGTCCCAAGGCATCCATACTCCCAGCTCCTTTCAGAAAGTATCTTCCCTTAGGCCCCTAGAAAGGCCATGGTCAGTAAGAAGGGCTAAGTGACACCCTCCATGATGTTTGGTTCTGGTCCAGATGAGTTTGGAAAGCAGAGGGGAAGGGGAGTGGCCACAGGGCTGGCAGCAGTAACAAGGTACGTGACATTCCCCTTAACTATGACAGAGTCTCAGGATAAGCAATAGTCACGGACCAACTAAAGAGTGATCTAGGAGGTTCTGTCCTGCCCCTTCCTACCGCTTTACTACTTAGGTTCTGGCAATGCCCCTCATTTAGGTCCCCAATAACTTCCTACCAATGAAAATGAAGTAAGGACTCAAGAGAATGAGACGTGGGGACTAAGAAACTAAATAAGACCCTCTAAATAAATTAGCTATCCTACCCAGGGACAGACAGACAGACAGGACTCAAACTTCCTCCAAGGCCAAGCAGTAAGGCAGGGCATGTGTGCAGTGACAAAAGGATTCTTATCTTGAAAAACACTTGACTAAAGTGGGAAGAAAAATAGTCAAGGGTCTTACGAAGGCTCCTTAGGAGCCATAAACTCAGTCAAGCTTTAGGGCAAGGCTGCTGGTGGGAAATCAAGAAAGTAAAAAATGAAACACAACTAAAGCAGAAGTCCCAGGGCACAGCCGTCTAAAGGAAAAGTCCTGAGTACAAGTTATGGCTGTGAACTGTTAAAGGCAAATGAAGTCCCTGGAGGTGGTAAGTGGCATCCTGACCATCTGCCATGCCATTTGCTAGATTGAGTCACCTCAGGGGCTGTTCCTGTTGGGTCCCGGGTGGTAGAGGATGAGAAAATCATGTTTTCTCTCCTTTCTCTTCACCAGGTGTGTCTTGCTCAGCACCGGCTCTGAGAAGCAGGAGGGGAAATTAAAACAGACGCAATAGAACATGTCCTCTGCCTGGCTCACCAGTGTATCATCTATGAAGATGGGAATCTTGCAGCTTAGAACGTTCCCTCATTCCCCCATGACAGCCAATTCTGGAAGACAAACTAAGAAAGGAAGCTGGCAGTTATTCTGTATGTAAATTTAAGATGGAGGTAGGAGAGAGGGAGAAAAGGACATTCTTGGCTTGGGCAGATGGCAGAAGGTGGCTCTGGGACAACTGGAAGGGATTCATACTGACAGGCTATTAAAGCTGACCTATCTATCCACAGGCCTCTGGCTTTGGATTGCTTCCTATGGCCCTGGTAGAAACTGCATAGTTCAGAGCCAAAGGAAGATGAGAAGTCTTAATGGGGAAGAAAGAGGGACAAGAGGGATGAATTTCTCCCCCTGTAACCTAACTCCTCACAGTAAGAATGGCTGAGAGCAACAGTCACCAATTTCCCAGGCAGGCCAGACCTTCACCAAACAGGGGTCTTCTGCTGAGATCAATACTGCACCTCCTCTTTCCTGCCTCTTCCCATCCTACCTCACCCTCAAGAAAACCCACTCAGGACCCTGGCTCTGATGCCTCAGAGTCGTGGGGCCAGGCCTCTGGGGACACACTGCATCTAGGGGGGCAGAAAGCAGAGGAGAGCTGAAGAAATACTACAGGAGCAGAGAGACCTAGCGGCTAGCCTAGGAGCCTGGTGAACGAGAGAAGGGAGATCCAGGGTGAGGGACACTTGCGAACAGAAGACCCTAGCCCGGAAAAGAAGACAGCTGGGTGAGGCTGGGAGATGGGAGAAGAGCAAGGAAGTGCAAGAGTGCCTTACACAACAGCTCCAGAGGGCTGCACCTGGAGAGAGACAGAGGCAGTGACCCGGGCAGGGGAACAAAGAGGGAGAGGCAGGTGCGGACAGACGACCAAAAGGAGTTATGTATGCTTTGGCCAGTAAACTCTTTTAAGACATAAAGAATCAATCCAGTAACCTGACAGAACGAGCGTCAAACTCTCCTGTTCCTGCCTGCCCTAATGATCACTGCAGGAGGGTGGACTGCGGAGGAGGCAGGTCAGCCAGTCACACCCGGGGCACTTTCCCTTTTCACCAACGAGCAAGAGCTAATAAGGCCACAAGATGATCTTGCCAAGGCTTAGTGGTAGGTGGAAAGGGCCCCACCAGTAGACTGAGAAAACTCAAGACACAAAACGAGAGACCCAAATAGCTCTGGAAATAGCTGAAAAAGGACTAAAATTCTTGGGGTTTTGTTTCTTTCTTTTTGTTTTTTTGTTTGTTTTTGGTTTTTTTTGGTGGCAGGTAGGGAGAAGGACTAAAGTTTATGGAAGAGCTGGAAAATACTGCTAATTCATACATCAAGGGTAATTTTACATTCGCCATAAATGAATGTTTGAACTAGACTTCAGGAAGGGGGTAAAGGGATAAAATAAGCAATTAATGGGAGACCAAGTCCTGAGCCCACTGGGTGGCTGGGGCAGGCCAGCGGGTGACCTGCCATCAATACTAGCCTCCCTCTACCTAGCAGGAAGTGGCGTGCTGCTAAGGAACAGGAAGGTAACAGCCATGGCTTAGTGGGAAGAGAGGGAACTGAGAAACCCAAAATCTAGCAGTGCAAGGGTTAGTGTTAAAAGAGACAGGTACACATGCACAGGCAGGGGTGATTGTTCGGACCATCTGGAAAGGCCTTTGGCTGTGGGTGCATCAGAAACTGCCCCCGTAGGGGATGATCTATGTGGCTCTGGGGCTGGGAGGCTCCTAGTACAGGTATTAATGTACATGACCATGTGGCTGAAAAGCCCTGCATCTGTCCGTTACTCACAACACACAATTTCCCCCCCCCGATGTTGCCATGTCCAAGGCAGACGGGAGGCGATACGATGACATCTCTCTTGGCTCTCGGGCGGGCGAGCTCTGACTGGGGACCTCTCCACCAGGGGAGGCATCATCTGCCCGCAGACTGGGACTGTGGGGTCATGATCACATGCGACTGTATCGGCATGCTCAGTTCTGTCCTTTGGCTGGCCATCTGAGTGAGGACCGAGGTAGCTACAGCTTCAGCCGCCGAGCGAACACTGAGGCCATTGCTAGGGGCTGTTGCTGAGCTGTGCTGAATCACAGGGGCTGGAGAACCCGTCGGCTCTGAGCTTTCTTTGGGGCTTTCTGCCAGGAAGGAAGACAGAGAGCAGAGAGCAAGTGATTAGAAAAGAGAATGGGGAAACAAGCAAGATCACCTTGTGCCATTAATTCTAAAGGAGCCCAAAAGGAAAAGGAAGCCCCCATCATTCTGGGGGGAAAACTTCCCAGAATCTTAGCTTCTAAGCCACGAAGGGGCTAGGAAACAGGGAGTTGTGAGAAGGGACGCAAGAACTAGGCCCCAATTAATCTATCTATCTCAGTAAAGTAACCCCCCAGCATGTTAATTACACCGTCTGGTTTCTGCGTCTTTGTGTAGTTCATTACCCCTACTGGAACACTCTTCCTTTCAGTCATGTCTTAAAAGGTGATTTATTTAAAATAGATTTTTTTTTTTAAGCTATCCTCTCTGATTAATTCCCACAAGAATTTAATCATTCTGTTATTTTTTATGTTCTTTTAGCATGCACTTGCACCCCAGGGAAGCCTGGTAAATATCAAGCTCACTCAGATGAGGTTATGAATGACCAGTCCTTGGCCAAGGTTCAGTTAATACAACAAACTACAAAGAGGCCTGTTGGATCCTCCTGACTATCAATTAGCTAGGCATTAATGATTGAAAACATTTATTATGGGCTACGCCACTTCACCTAAAGTGATGATAACACTTTACTGATAAACACAAATATCTGAGCTGCATACAAAGGTAACTCCATGTGGCTCTGCAGTCAAGTTTTATGAAACATCACACAGCCTCCACAGCTGCTTAAACAGAGATGTGTGGAATAAATAAGGGCCAACAACCAGTGGTTGTATTTTTCATTCTCTCCTGATGAATGTCTGAGTCTCCTTTCAGGATTCAAATATAACCTCTTCTGTGAAACCTTCTTTGTTTTGCTCATGAAATTAACTACCTCATCGCTGGTGCTTTCAGAGCACACATTCATCTATTCATCATTTTACTGAGCATATTCCATGTGCCAGCACTGCGGTATATAATGAATAAAACAGGAGCCCTGTCCTCAGGAAGCTCCCACTCCAGGGGCTCTTTGACTGGGCTATCTGTGCATACCTTATTCACAGGCTGACATGTTTATCTCCTCATAACTCTGAGTCTCTCAGAGGTACAGTGTGTCATTGGCCTGAGTCAAATACCTACCACAGTGTCTACACCACACAGCAGGAACCAAATACATCTTTGCTGTAACAAATAAGTAGCTTAATGGGTTGCCTGCCCCTCAAAAGTTCTTGAAGGGATTGAGCAGAAAACTTACTGTATATCAATATCATACTGATGAATACTCAATCCTTGCCTTCCTTTCCCCATCAAAAGGATTTGAAATGTTGATCACTAAACTCCTGGAAACACTTTCTTATCCTGGTTTCCAGAATGCCACACTCACTACTCAGCTTATTTTCCTCCTGCCTTCTTGGTGGCTCATTCCGCCTCATTTGTGGGTTTCTTCTCCTTTCTCTGACCACTAAATGTTGGAGTACCCCAGAGCTCGGTCCTGCGACTACCTTTCTTCTTTCTGTCTCTGCTCTTTCAATAACGAAACCATTTCATCTGGTTTTGTGGCTTTAAAAACTAACTACATGCTGCTGACTCCCAGAGTTGTATCTTCAGCCTTTTCTCTGAACTGCAGGACCATATCACCAGCCTCCACTTGATACCTCCGCCTGCAAGCTTCTTAAGTTCAGCTTGTCCAAATCTGAGCTGCAGACACACCTCCTAATCCATTTGCTTCTACACTTTCCTCTACTTCAGCTAATGGCAACTCCACTCTTGCAGTTGCTCAGGCCAAAAACTTTGGTGCAGCTTTTGATTCTTTTCTCATATATACCACCCCATCTGGCCCGTCATCAGACCCTGTCACTCTAACTTCAAAATATACCCTGAATTCAACCCCTTCTCCCCATTTTCACTACCACCATCCTGGCTCAAGGTTCCACCACCTCTTGCTCACATGATTGCCACAGACTCCTAAACGGACTGCTTGCTTCTGCTGTGCACTCCTGCACTCTCTAACAGAGTGATTCTGTTCAAATGTAAGTCAGACCAGTCGTGTCACTCTTCCTCTAAAAACCCTCTAATGGCCCCCCATGTAGAGTAAAAGCCGAGGTCCTTACTAGGACTGATGAGGGCCTATATAAAAATGTTCCTGTTAGCTCCCTTACCTCATCTCCAACTACTCTCCATCCCCGGTTCTCTCCAATCCAGCCTTGATTCCCAGAATGTGCCAGGTGCATCCCACTTTGGGTCTTTGCATTTGCTGTTCTTCCCGTTGGCAGTACTTTTCCTCCCATATAAATGCATAGCCAGCTCCGTCACTTCCTTAAAGTCTTTATTCAAAAGCCACCTCATCTAAAATTTCAACCCTGCTGCCAACATTTCATATTCCTCTTTCCGGTTTTATTTTTTCTTCCAAGCATTTACTCTTATCTAATAGACCATATATTATACCTATTTATCTTGCTTATTGTCTGTCTCACCTACTAAAATATAAGCCCCTCAAGGGCAGGGATTTTAATCTAATCTATCTGGCTTCCTATTATATCCTCAGCATATAAAACAGTGCTTGGCAAAGAAGAAGCTCAATCAGTATCTCCTTAATGAATGAATGTATCCTGAAGTACATATTAAAATTAAAATTTAAATAGAGATGTTTAAAATGAGTGATGTGGTTACTCTTTTTCTATGCGAACACATCTCTGAAATGATAAAAACAGTTAGTGGAACAATAACTTAATATATCAAAATTTGACAGCCAAAATTTCTAGGAATTTATTAAATTTGTAAAGGAAAATGTTTTATTAGCTTTCACTGTCCATAAGCAAATTATTCACAGTAATTTTAATTTCAGGACTGTGCTTGTCCCGAGCACGACTCTATGACCATCTCTTTCTAGCACTATTTTATGTGTGCACATAGGTTACAAATTAAAACCACCATGGGTCCATCATTAGAAAGATAAAATATACCCCCATAGCACAATGCTTAACAAACGCCAATGTATCATCTATTGTTTATATTCTCTTGAGGCCAAGATAGCGTCTTTGGAATAAGAAAGACCTAGATGGGAATCTTGGCTCTGCTACTTCACCAACTGTGTAACTTCAGGTACATGACTATTCTGAGTGGTTTTATTGTATATAAATGGAGGCAATATCTATTTCATGAGAGAATTGGGCAGATGGTAGAGGGCCTAACACAAAGTAGGCACCTGATAAATATTGCTACCCTTTATCTCCCATGATAGATAATTAGGATAACTCTGTATGGTTCTGAAAACAAAATTATTTTGTAGGACTGGCTGTTCCAGAAAGGCTGCTCATTCATCAGTGTGGATCCCTCCAGAACATTCAGAATGGGATTATAAAATTATAAATAGTTGAGACACTCGGTACATGCAGTTTATTGACTGACTACCCTTGCTTAGGTTGTGAGCCACTCACCTAAATAGCCTTGGGTCTTTTTCTGTAGTGCAGTAACCGGGCAGTCTTTATGAGCTAACAGTAGCTGTTTCAACTGAGCCACCTCATTGCGTAGCAACGTGACTTCGTTCTGAAGAGGGAGGGAAGAAAAGAGTATCAAGAAAATGCACCCTCCACCCCTGTGCCCCCAGTGGCTGTCCCCATGGTGAGGACAGAATGCTGCCTGGATTTTCTCCCCTGAATCTGGGAGACTCCTCATCCCGCAAGGCTTCAGACAGCTCAGGGCCAGTACAGTCATGAATTCACTGACAGGAGCTGCTTACAGTGAAAAGGAGGGATTTATAACAGAAACATTATTCCTATTTAGGATAAACATAATCATACCAAAATTAATAATGCATATGTCCTCCGACTAAGAAAGCCTACTTCAGGGGTGCCTGGGTGGCTCAGTTGGTTAAGCGACTGCCTTCGGCTCAGGTCATGATCCTGGAGTCCCTGGAACGAGTCCCGCATCGGGCTCCCTGCTCGGCGGGGAGTCTGCTTCTCCCTCTGACCCTCCCCCCTCTCATGTGCTCTCTCATTCTCTCTCTGTCAAATAAATAAATAAAATCTTAAAAAAAAAAAGAAAGCCTACTTCCAGGAATCTATTTAACAAAGCTACCTACTCAAGTGCATACAATGTTAACTATAGCACTGCTGTTCTGGCAAAAAATTAGAAACACTGTAAATACCCATACCTTATAATATAACCATGCTACAGAATATACTACCATAGAGCTATTAAAAAAAATGAAGTAGATTCTCTAGACAGATGGCCAGATCTCCAGGAGGAGATACTATCAACCTAGTTATGTTAAAACACACAGCCCCTCCCTGACTACCCCACAAAAAGTATAAATGAAAAAAATATTTAGAAATACATGTATGTTTGGTAGGTACACACCAAACTCATCCACAGGAAAGAATAAGACTGGGAAAGGCATATTGAAGAAGAACTTTGGTTTTGTTCTATACACTTGTGTGTGCATGTAGGTATACATATGTTATATACATAAATATATTCATATATACCTTTGAAGTGAAATCTTATAATAAGTTATCAAAAGAAGGGAAAATAATATTCAAGAAAATATCTGGATTATAATTTTTCTATTTGTGCTTGTGTGGTTTTTTCTTTCTTTCATTAAGCTGCATTATCCGGGGCAAATACATTTCCCTTTGGGTACTCCACGACCCCAGTTGGATTCGACTGATGACCTAAAAGAGTACCCTGGGACAATTAATCTAATTTCCTCCATCCAAATGGGTGTGTGGATGATTCAGACTCTAGCAACAGGTTTGGGAGTAGATGGTGAGTCTTTTCCAACCCCTGGGGAAGAGATTTCAATTTTGACAGTTAAGAGTTTCTTTCTGCATTCTTCCTGGCACATCTTCTGGAACAGTCCTAATTTAGAGTTATCATCTTCTTTTATACTGTTTCACTATTTTCTGATTCAATCTCAGTTTCCAGATTCATCAATCCCAATAACCACCCAGGGACCCACTCACACTCAGCTGAATGTTCTGAGAAGTGAGTTCCTCTGCCTTCTTCTCGAGGGAGGACACCCAGAGCTTCCGCTTTTGACGGCAGCGGGAGGCTGCAGCCCGGTTGCGCTCCAGAAAACGCTGCCGCCGTTCATCAGGATCTTCATCCACTGTGCGTCGCCGTCGCCCTCCCGTGCTGGGAGTGGGCTGGGCTGGTGAGACCTGGGGCCCAGAAAGAGGAGTTACTTGAAGGGAACATCAACCCTTTGCAAATTAAGCCTGATGTCAGGTAGGTTAGTAAGCTCTGGTAAAGATCTGGTAAAGGGATGTACCAGTCTCTGCAACCAGAGCATGTCTCATCACCATGCCCCTGAGTTTCTCTTTTCTCTGCCTCCCCATTTCCTTCCAGTCTTCTCAGCCCCAAACTTAGATAAACCACAGCTCAGGTGGAAATTGATTATTTCTGAGACAGACAGACAAGATGAAGCTAGCGTCACTTTTTGTTTCTTAACAACAGGGAATCTTCCTGTAGGAGGGGAAACCGTAATGGGGACTGGGTGTCGGGGGAATTTTTAGGGAGACAGGAATAAAGATATTTGAGAATCACTGATTTGGACAAGCAATATATACAAACAATTGAATGCTACAACAAGTTTCAGAAAAGGAGGAAAGACTTTACTACTGGTGAGATACTGGCTATCATGGAGAGATATGGATTAGTACATTCTTTTTTTTTTTTTTTTTAAGATTTATTTATTTATTTATTTGACAGAGAGAGAGACAACGAGAGAGGGAACACAAGCAGGGGGAGTGGGAGAGGGAGAAGCAGGCTCCCCGCAGAGTAGGGAGCCCGATGTGGGGCTCGATCCCAGGACCCTGGGATCATGACCTGAGCGGAAGGCAGACGCTTAACGACTCCACCCAAGGCGCCCCATGGATTAGTACATTCTTATTTTTTTTTTTTTTAAGATTTATTTATTTATTTATTTATTTGACAGAGAGAGAGACACAGCGAGAGAGGGAACACAAGCAGGGGGAGTGGGAGAGGGAGAAGCAGGCTTCCTGAAGAGCAGGGAGCCCGATGCGGGGCTCGATCCCAGGACCCTGGGATCATGACCTGAGCCAAAGGCAGACGCTTAACGACTGAGCCACCCAGGTGCCCCAGTACATTCTTATTTATAGTCCGTTATTAATCATCCTCAGCGATCACCCTCCCCACCTTGTTTGTCCTGTTTGTTTTTATGCAAAAAAACATTTTTAATCCCTTTACACACTGGTGATATAGGACAGCCTTTTGTCTTTAAACTTTAGGCTGACGTCCTCTGTCACTACAGTACTTCTGGATCATCTTCCCTTTCTATTAGCTGGTATGTGTTCAGAGAAGATAGACCAACTTTATAAGAGCAGGCAAAATTAAAATGTAGAGAGGCCAGCCATCTGTATAAAAGAAACTATATAAATGTAAAAACAATGCCAAAAACAAATTCTTCCTGGATCTGTTGCTCTTAGAAAATATCTATATTAGTAGTTCCCAAGGGCCAGAGCTCACATCAGTTGCATGAGACTAAGCATGAGCTTATAAAAAACAGAATCTTATACTCCACTTCAGGCCCTACTAATTCATGTTCTCCATTAATATAGATAATCAAGAGGTAATTTTATTTATTCACACTAATATTCTCTCTCCCAAAAGAAAAAATGGAGAAGAAATTTAAAACTCAATTTAACGAGCTGGAGGCCTTGGGTCATTGCTTCTCACTGTACTATGGAAGTTTATACTAATTCTCTTGAGACTTCAATTTCCTCTTTGTCCTGAGCTTGGCGGAGCACATGGGAAGACTGGCACTTTAGGGGGATGAGGAAAAGAAACGGTAGGTTCTGATTCTCTCACAGTAACTCAGCAGCTCATGCAGGGAAGAGAGCTGCAAGAACACCAAGGGAAAGAAGGGAAGAATGAGAAAGAAAGGGGTCAGCGGTGACTAAAAAGGAAGTCACGTCATTTTCTCGAGAGGGCAGCAGCACAACTCAGGCGAGGTGGCTCCTGCTTTGCCATTTCCAGGGACTGGCATCGGAGGGGGTTCTAGGAGGGAGGGCCAGCTCCGCTTCCAACAAGCAAACTCAAATGAAGGCTTTAGTTGTTGGCCACGCTTTAAGGCGGCATATGGCCGTTAAATGTTAGGACATGTGGTGGTAACTGACAAAGCAGGTGGTGACATCAGAAAAAGGGGCTGGACAAAGATGTAATTCTAGAAACCCATCTCAGGTTGTTGTCACCTGTCCAGTGCAGATACTACAAAAACTAAGGCCTATTCAGTTTTCAAAGAAACTTATTAAAACTGAGGCTTCCTTGGGAAAAGAACGGGGCATACAAAAGGGACTATTCTGGCTTTAGTAAGACTTTCATTTCTCCGTGATAAAAAGGGATTAAATTGATAAGGAAAAGGTGTTCTTTTATGTCTATTTACTAAGCCATCTTAGTACTGTGACACCCCATTTTACTCATATATTGTTATTACCTAATTTTGGCTACAAAACCTAATCAGGTAAGATTTTTTGGTTCTTGTTTTTGTCTTTGTTTTGGTTTGTTTATTTTCTGTAAGACTTAACACATGGGAAAGAGACTAGGGGAGCCTCCTTTGGTGCACAAAGTGGTTTGAGTCAGGTTCTGTCACATTTTAGAGGGTTTTGCAGATACGTCATTCACATATAGAAAAAACCGAAAACCAAAAATTGAGAACTCTTCTCTGCCAGCTCTGCATTCTCCAGCTTGTCTGATGTAAATGTAACAGAAGAGTAGATAAAGACTGGTGCATTCTGCTACTGTCAAACTGTTAACAAGAACCAAAGCACAAGAAGATGCCGAGAAGACTGAAACCCGCTCTTTCTGCTCCTCGAAAACCAGACGTAACATAAAGTAACGGTGACACAGCAGGCTCCCCCGTCCAAGGGCCCAACTGACCTGTGGCTGGGCAGGGGATGGGGCATCAGGGTGTTGGATGAGGAGCTGGCTCTGCTCAGGACGGGCCGTCACCATGGTGCTGGCAGTACCCACCACCATTCCACATCCACCATTGATTGAGGAGACTTGGTGGGTTAGGGTGGCTTTTAGTCTCTGTAGGGAACAATAATAAAAAATTGCTTGTCAAGGATAAGATTCTATCAAGGGTGAGAAGAGAGGGCTTAGATTTTAATACTGACCTTATAGATCACTAAAATTTCCACACCAATTTGCCCTTAACAGAGGAATTAAAAAAAAATGACAGGGAGAATGTGCACCTGGATCCCTAACATGCCTACTCTGTTCCTTGGCTATCATCCTGGGCACAGTTGGAGGGTGGGGGTTGTTGAAGTAATAGAGTCCAGATGAAAGCTCTCTCCTGGAACCTGGCCAGGTGCTGGTTACGCAGCTATTCACCTCTTGGCCAGCTCTCCTGCCCACTCATCCACCCTCCATCTGTCACCCTGGAACTGAAACAGCAAGCATTCCACTCCAAACAATCTGTGCTGCCTCTTCACTGCCATGGTCTATGTACCAGGCTCTAAAGGTAGAAGAGAGGAGAGAGGAGTCATGAATCAGGGTCTTTTCTTTTCCAGACCCCACTGCAGGGTATCTTCAGCTTTGCAAGCCCCAGAAGGTTTCTTTGCCTGGCTCACTTGAAAAACCTAGGCTGGTAACACTTCTTTAGAAAGGGCCAACACTGCCCCAAGCTGGGATGTACTCACCATCTTGGCTTCTGATGGCATAGGGTGGCCAGAGGGAGAAATGGAACCACTGCTGTTAACTGGTGGGCCAGGGATACCAGGAATGTTGGGCACCATAGACACAGGTCTGGCCAGCTGGATCAAGAGGAGGAGGAAAAACCAGAAGGGAACATAATACTAGTGGTGGGGCAACAGCTCCAAAATGAAGTGCTTTGGAGACTGGCGTGTCAGGGCCTGTTCTGTGCAGCCTGTCCAGAGGGCACAGAGGGACAGCCTGGGAAACACCTTTCCCCACGGAGCACCACAGGGTAGGGAACCGAATCCTTCAGTGCTGTGACAATTTCCATGGGAACGGCTGGGGCTGTATCTTGAGGAAAGTGGTGGGCAATGTGGGAGGCGCTAAGCGCCAAGTGATATCAGCCAATCAGCAGGCTGGCAAGATCAATTCCTAGACCAGGAGCCAATTGTCCAGATGAGTCTTTGTCTAGTGTTCCGCAGTGCTGGATTGGCAGAGGTTCACAGAGAGTTTAGGCAGGCTGCCACGCTCAACCAATACAGACCAGAGCCCCCGTTTCCCTGGGGCGCATGTGTGTTTATGAGCATTCAGGTGGAAGGGAGGGATTAGTGTGTGGGCAGGGCTGGCTGCACCAACGACAGAGCTCACCGATATAACAGAAGGCATCTGTACCGGAGGCCCTGGCAGCACAGGCATAGTCTGTCCATTCGCAAGATGCATGACGAGAGGGAGGGAGCCAGTGGGAGACCTGAGGAGACACGAAGTGAAATGCTCATCATACAGACCCTTTTGTCTCTGGATCTTCCTCCTATAATTACAGCAGATTGCCCAGGCTTCTCTAGTTAGGGAAGCTACAGGGCAACACTATAAAATCTTGACACTCTCATGAACGTGGAAGAACCAGGGAATGCCTCTTACCTTACCTTACAGATGGACAGATGGCCAGAAATGGGAAGATCTTTACACCTTGCAAATTAAGCAAACACCACTGAATTCAAACGGGTGGGAAGCTAATCCTATTAAGATTTCAGAACAACGAAACAAACATCCCTACCACTGGCATGTATAAATTCTGTCTTGCCTTAGCTGGGACTTGGGCCAAAGTTGTCATTTTGCAAAGCTGAATTATGTCATATGATAGCCAAATATGAGTAAGTTTCTCCTGTTCCTTTGCATGTACTGCTCTACCTTGTCCCCAAAAGATGTCACTTTGTATTTTTCCTTGTGGGTCCAGAGAACAATAAGCTTTAAGAGGCTGAATCCTGACAACAACCTCTAACCCCATGGGTACCTGGGGACAGGAGCTCAAGTCACCTCATTAGGAAGTCTGTATGGACCACGCCAGGACTGAAGACAGACAAACAAAATTAGGGGTAGCAAAGACCAAGAACCCCAGACTGAGGGGGAACACCAGACTCAAAAAGATGACAATGGGTTTCAGCCCATCATTCAATAATGCCCTCCAAACCTTGTACAGATCAAGGCCAAGAAGTAAATATACTTCCCTGTCGCTTCCACCATTATGATGAACTTCCTAAAGTTTTAAAGATTCTTCTTTTAGATCAAAGAAGTATTAAACCTCCAAATTCAGGAAGTATTATCCCCAAATAAATACTTACTTGTTTACTAATAAGGTAAAGGAGAGGTCTGCTTATGGGGGGATATTTTATTTTGAGAGACAATCTCACTGACTCATTTTCTTTGAGTATTCAAAAACAGTCCCTGTTTTGTTTTGTTTTTTACCAAGTACAAAAAGGTTCAGGCTCCACTGTTTCTCCCTGCTTTACTTACCCCAGCTGCCTGTTAGATGGTGGAGCCTGTGTGATGACAGAAGTTGGGGAGGGAAGGGTCGGGTGAAGTGGATCATAGCCCAAGTGGAGAGGTAGGGAGCCAGGGCGCACGATGGTAGGTGTGGGGGTAGAGATCACGACAGGCTTTGGGGCCACCTCCTGAGGAGAAGAGACCAACAGAATACAAAATGCTATAAGGGGCTGCTTATAGGAAAATATGTAGCTGGTTAAATGTAGTACACATTTACTGGAAAGAGCACTACAGTGACTCATGTAAATCATGCCCTAACTCTATCATGATCATGGACCCATACTTCACTCACCCATTCAATAGGAATGCTGAGTTAAAGCTTTTTGGCTATCTCCCCTTCAGGGATGATTGCTATATGAATGAGATGAGAGTTGGAAAATCACTTGAAATCTTTATAGAAGCACTGTAGTGCCATATAACTTCCAAGGACTGTCATAATTTTTCACTCTTTATTCCAAATCTGATGGCTGAGTGTTCTCTGATCTCTAATGAAAAAAAGGCAGGGTGTAAGACTGGTGAGAAGGCAACCTAGTATCTCCTACAGACATATACCCCCACTCCCACCTTTTTATTTTAGGTAAGCTCTATGCCCAGTGTGCGGCTTGAACTCACGACCCTGGGATCAAGAGTTGCACGCTTTACTGACTGAGCCAGCCAGGCACCTCCAGATGGATCCCTTTAAAAAAGGCTATGGAAGAAAAGGCTATGCAAGTTTAAGGGTCATGTTGTAATAAAACAAACTGCTTCTCACTGTTAACTTGTTTGGGACCTCAGTTGCTAGTGGCCACACTGGCCCTCACACATCTCCCGACAACCTTTAGGACCTGGTTGCTAATGAAAAGGGGAGGGAGGAGGGACAATTGTAATGTTTATGGAAGAGGTAGTTTGGAGAAGTTATCAAACCAAATTTGGAGGGAGGTAAAATGAGGTATAGATGCTCTACCCACAGGGAACATTAAAATTAATAACCCCTGGTAGAGCAGTAGAGTTTGGAAAGAGGCATGAGGGGGCTTCTGAGGTTCTGATAATATCTGGGTGCTGGTTACACAGGTTGTAAACTTCATGAAAATTCAGTGAGCTATATACTCACAATTCATGCACTTTTCTGTATGTATGCTATATTTCAATAAATTTATGAAAAATACTACCTCATAAAAAGTTTCCTTTAAAAAAATAACACTCAGGGGCGCCTGGGTGGCTCAGTCGTTAAGCGTCTGCCTTCGGCTCAGGTCGTGATCCCAGGGTCCTGGGATCGAGCCCCACATCGGGCTCCCTGCTCCGTGGGAAGCCTGCTTCTCCCTCTCCCACTCCCCCTGCTTGTGTCCCCTCTCTCACTCTCTCTGTCAAATAAATAAATAAAATCTTTAAAAATAAATAATAAAATAAAATAATACTCAGAATTCTAGCAGATTTTCTCTTTGAGTCACTAGAAGCCTTCCTTCTAAAAGATTTTTTTCCGGGGCGCCTGGGTGGCTCAGTCATTAGGCATCTGCCTTCAGCTCAGGTCATGATCCCAGTGTCCTGGGATCAAGCCCCACATCGGGCTCCCTGCTGCACAGGAAGCCTGCTTCTTCCTCTCCTATTCCCCCTGCTTGTGTTCCCCCTCACTGTGTCTCTCTCTGTCAAATAAATAAATAAAATCCTGGAGAAAAAAAAAAAGATTTTTTTCCAAAATCATTTAATGTCCAATTTATGAATTACATAATTTTTCTTTCCCACTTAATAACTGAAGTACAGGGGCACCTGTGTGGTGCAGTTGGTTGGGTGGCCGACTCTTGGTTTCAGCTCAGGTCATGATCTCAGGGTCGTGAGACTGAGCCCCATGTTGGGCTCCACGCCCAGCGTGGAGCCTGCTTGGGATTCTCTCTCTCCCTCTGCCCCTCCCCACTCCTCTCTCCTTGTCTTAAAAAAAAAAAAACCAACACCCCCCACCAAAAAAACCCAAAATAACTGAAGTCAACATACATAAAGTACATTAATCTAAAGGATATAAATAAATGACTATATATGTAACATCAAGACAGAGCCCATTTCCAGCACCCCAGAAGGTGTCCCTTCCCAATCCATACCTTCCCTCATGAAAGTTAAACATTTACTTTGAGTTCTATCATCAAATAGTTTTGCCTCTTCTTGAACCTAATGTAAATGGAGTCATGTGTGTACTTTTGTGTCTGAATTTTGTTGTTGTTCAATATAACTTTTGTGGGATTCACCACATTGCTGTGCATGTCATCAGTTCATTCTTTTTTAATGCCATGTGGTATTCCATTTTATTTCATTTATTTATTTTTAGAGAGAGGGGGGTGGGGGAAGCAAAGGGCAAAGGGAGATGGAGAGAGAGAATCTTAAGCAGGCTCAATGACCAGCATGAAGCCCGACATGGGGCTTGAACTCATGACCCTGAGATCATGACGAGCCGAAACCAAGAGTCAGGTGCTTAACTGAGCCACCCAGGTACCCTTACTATTCCATTTTAGAAATATACCACAATTTATTTATTTATTCATTCTCTTATTGATGGACATTTGGACTACTTCAGTTCTTTGACCATTATGAATACAACTGTTATGAGCATTCTTATATACTTTTATATAGTCGACATACACACTAATTTCACTTCCATATAGACTCAGAAGTGGAACTGCTGGGTCAGAGAATAGGTGTAATTTATACAAATCTTCTAAACAATGAACATTATTTAAGTATAATCAATCCTGTATCACACATTATTTATACAACTAATGAATCAAAACTTAATCTACCTACCAACTAACATTTGGGATAATTTTTTCTTTTTAAGATTTTATTTATTTTATTTTATTATTATTATTTTTAAAAGATTTTATTTATTTATTTGAGAGAGAGAGAATGAGAGACAGAAAGCAGGAGAGGAAGGAGGGTCAGAGGGAGAAGCAGACTCCCTGCTGAGCAGAGAGCCTGATGTGGGACTCGATCCCGGGACTCCAGGATCATGACCTGAGCCGAAGGCAGTCGCTTAACCGACTGAGCCACCCAGGCGCCCCAAGATTTTATTTATTTTAGAGAGAGAGAGAGCGTGCACTCAAGTGGGCAGGGGGAGGAACAGAGGGGGAAGGAGAGAGAATCTGAAGCAGACTCTCCACTGAGTGCAGAGCTGGACACGGGAGTTGATCCCACACCCTGAGATCATGACCTAAGCCGAAACCAAGAGTTGGGACGCTCAACCAACTGAGCCACCCAGGCACCCCTGGGATAATTCTTGGTAGAGAATTTACCTTTTCCTTGAGTGGCGGGGAGCAGGGACTAGAAGCAGGGCTATCAGGTGGGGATGAGTCTACCTCCACTGGCTCTTCTTCTTTGATTTTGATGTCTGGTGTGGAAGGCAAAGACATGTCAAGGGGCCCTGCAGCAGCCTGTTGAAAGAGAGAATAAGCAAAGTTCAACCCCATGATTCCCTACAGGCTGAATCAAAATCTTTCCAGGTTCTTTTCTTTTTTTTTTTTTAAGTAGGCCTCACACCTAATGTAGGGCTTGAACTCACAACCCTGAGATCAAGAGTCGCATGTTCTACTGACTGAGCCAGCCAAGAGCCCCAAGAAAATATACTTCTAAGTTCAGCCCTTGGTCAAAGAACTGAACTGTAAGTCAAAGAAATATGAAACCTAGGTTTTATGTACAACTCTGGCCAGATCATTTTAATTTCTCAGAACTTCTGTTTTTCTAACTGTAAAATAGAAATAATTCCTGCTTCACCATGGGTGAACACTTATAAAGATTCTGAAAGGAAAAAAAAAATACTTAAAAATGTTTATAAAGACCCTGAAAGGAAAAAAAAAAAAAAGATGTCATTTAAATCCATGCAAATATCATAATTATATAACTTTTCATGAAAGTAAAATGATTCCTGAATCCAGTGCTTGCCTATTTCCAACCAGCTCTGCTGGCCACTGGAGAACTGTGAGCACTTTTTCTGCCAACCAGAAGGACTAGATTACCCAAGTATCAAAAGCAAACAAAGGCAAATTAGCTATTGAAGTACTACAAACAAGATAGGAAAGATCTTTTCCAGGGAACTTCCCATGCTCGATGGTGATTTCATCCCAACATCTGATGTTAGAGGCCAGAAGTCAGGAAGCTAGGGTTTGGGGGTAATAAGGAAAGGAAAGGCTGGCTATTTGATCAGTTAAAGAAATTAGAACTTGATCCTAGAAGTAGGACTGGAGAAAACCAGAAAGGAAAGAGAGTACCTTTCTGGCAGTGGTGAATCACTTCACAGAACCATGGAGCTGTAAATGGCTTTGCAGGGATCCATAAACCATCTGAGAGGGCGGCCCAGACACTGCACCACGCCAGGAGGGCTGCCACTGCAGTCCGGTTTCATGACAAAATAGATCCTTTGTTCTATTCTTCCCATATCTTAAGCTTCTTGGTCAAAGAGGAGCTTGTTTCTAACTCTTCCCTTGCTACCTTAATCCTAGAAATCTTGGTAGTTGAGCACACTGAAGATAATCTGGCGTCTACCACATTAGAGAAAGTGGTAATGGTTCTTTCTCTCCAATCTGATGGGGGTGAGCAATAGCAAAGATGCTTTCATTTCTGCCCTCATTTTTTTCTACATTGTGAAGATGTTGGGCCCAATTCAGCTAATTCTGGGATCCCTGAAGTCAGAGGGTGGTGGGAAGGAGAGGCCTCTAAGTAAATAGAACCAAGGGTTTAAAATCCCTTTGAGGCATCTCCTAGAAAAGCTGTGGTTCAGTGAAATTTTAGACTCAGTCAACATTCCTGGATACAATCTTCTACTGAGTCTGTTCTTCTCATCAAGGGGAGGTAAAGACCACCCCTGTATAGACAGGAAGAAATACTGAGATGCCCAATGGATAAAAGCCTGACCAACTATGAATGGCCTCCCAGAAGTGTCAACTGAGTTAAAATGGCAGTACAAAAGACTTCACACTTTTAAAGGGAGGTTAATTTTCTTGAATTTGCCTATAATGAGTTTGATTTTAAATCGCTCACATCCTGGTGGAAACAATTTGACTGATTTGTCTTGGGAGAAGGAGAAATGATGGTGGTGGGGGGGATGAGGTAGGGAAGCTGTAAAATAAAAGTATACCACATAGGCTGAAGCCACAGAGAGATGAGAGACTGGAGTCTCTAAAGAAAAACAACGAGAAGACTGTGGCTAGTCCAGCCATTTGAAAGTAGAACTACAAATATATGCCATTGGATTTCCCTGCTTTCTTTCGATTTGAGGGAGACAGCAGGAAAAGAAGCTCAGAGGAAGCTACGGAAGTTGGAAAAAACTCCAGTGATAAGGACACCTTATCTTGCATTCTTACAATTACATTTTAAGCTGGATGAAAAAAAATCATGCACAACTCTCTTGATTTACCTGCTCTCTTCTTCTTAGAGGGAAAGAACTCAGAATAAGGGATTCCAACATTCTAATCCTCTCTACAGTATCCACACTAAGTGGCCTACATCTAATTGCACACACTTTGCGATAGCGTCCACCTGCTGGTCCTATTTCTACCTCTAGGCCACACAGAGTAAGTTTAACCACTCTTTTACCTGAAAGCTCTTCACATATTTGAAGACTACAATTTTTTTCACCTTAAAACTTCTCTTTTCCAAGCAAAACTTCCTCAGTTTCTTTTTATGTTCCCAAAGTGACATAATTTTTAGTTCTTTCACCATCCTGGTTGATCTCCTTTGGAAGGCATTAAAAACACCCTTCTTGAAGTTTAATGTCTTGAATATTACGAGAAAGCTACCTGAAGGTAAGAGGTGCATATGTTGAAACAAAGAAGTGTCAAGATTCAATAAATGTTTGTTGATTGGCTGACTGAATGATAACAGTCCAGGTGAGAAGTCTGATTAGCTCAGAAAAGAGTGAGAGATCTAACCCCCAAAAATGTTATCTCACAGAATCTGAGTAATTTATCATCTTTTAACATCCTTAACATATTCAGAAGAGAAATAATTAAAAAAAAAAAAAAAAGGATTACTGAACTAATGCTCCACTGAAAGGGCAAGGAGCCTAATTTTTGGTAAAGACAGACTTGTGCTGATCCATCACATCTGGAACCCCTGAAGACGTGGAAGGCTGACTTGGATTAGTGGGTATTATCTGGTTCTAAAGAACGAAGCCCATAATTTTGTGCTTTAACCGACTAAGCAAATTATCCCAGGGCACATTGAAAATAGCCTCCATCTGAACACTGCCAGTTTGTCAGCAAAAGTCCCGCCTCTTGCCTTTTTTTCCTCCTCATCTGCAGCTTTCTTGAATTCATGTTCAAAGGAGCTAGCTAATTCATTGAAGAGCCCCACCTCCTCACAATTCTTCAGGAATCTAGTCGGAGTAGGAGTCTGATCTGCAGACATGGGAAAAAAAAAAAAGGAAACTTTATTTTAGTTTTGACCTGAAATTGAAACTTGACAGTATACAGAGAACACATTTTTATTCTTCTGTTTGGAAAGAGTCTCTGTGTTAGGGCAAGTTTGCTTTTACGGAGCGAGAGCAGGTGAAGGCCAGTACTAGGCCACCAGAGGGTGTCTGTGTTGTGCGGCCTCGAGGCCGGCAGGCGGAAGACAGGATGATGTTTTGTTGTGTGACTATCCCTGTAACCCCCTTTCTCCCAGAGGCTGGTTTCACCTCCCTCACCCCCAAACGAAACAAAACCACCCACCCAGGTGGAGTCTGTGAAACCTCCAGATCTGAAAATCAAGAACAGTTAAACGACATTTTCTCTTTAAACTTACTCCCTGCTAGGTCTGAAGTGAGCAGGTATAAGCAGATGGACGTTAAAATCTGATGAGGAGAAGAAACTGAGGATCAGATGGTTGACTTTGCTTGCTAAAGCTACCAAATAAGAAATGGTGCCTTGTCTTTCAGTGGTCACTGAGGTAAGGGTCTGTTACCTTCTGAAGGCATTCCAGGCAAATCTAGGGGCTGGGGAACAAGACAGCAAGATCATGAGCTAGAAAAGGAAACTGCAAACAATAGAGCTCATTTTACAGAGACCTGGGCCCAGAGCAAATTCCGGAAACCAGGATATTTGGATTTAGATTTGCCAGCCAAAATATCCTCTCAGGGGCTGCACAAATCTTTCCTCAACAGTGCCTCTGCCCTTGGGAAGAGGAAGGCAATCAGTAACCCATGGGAACTTTCTAAGCAACTTGAATTTTAGATTTGAGCTCCTCTCTCCCCATTCTGGTTTTCTAGTTTTTCTCTCTTAGGTCAGTTGAATTCTGTTCCTGGATCTAAACTTCTATTATGATGGTTTTCTTTGACATGCTAGTCACCTCAGGGACTCATTCATACCCCAAACCACTAAATTGAATGACAGAAATAGAACAATGTTTAAATGACGTTTTAAGGAGTGAGACCTGGGATTAAAATCGTTCCCTTTAGCATGATCGATTGGAAATAGTCCACTGGGATTTTCCAAGGAACAGCATAATTTTTTTTTTTTTTTAAATTTAAACAAAACCTCTTCTGAATCAGAGTGTTTGGAAAAGTTACCACTACCTCCCAAAATAGTTTTAAAAGGTCCTCTGGAAGCTTTGGTTGGCCAATGATGAAGCCACTTTTCCTCCATCCCCGGGTGAGTGGAGGTAATATCATCCTTTATGCTCAAGAGTTCTTTAGTAAGGGCACACACAGATCACAACTCAAGTGAAACAGGACGGGGCAGCTAAGGGCATGGTGATGGCAGAAGAGGGCCTTTGGCCTCTCTGACCTGAGACCCATACAAACTGCTCCCAAACAACCAGCCAGAAAATACATAGGAAAACCTTTAGTGTGCTCTGATGATTCTAAAGAAATCAACAAGTGTTCACTGAATACTTTCTACATGTTTTGATGCTATATGCATATATACTTGTGGGTAAATTTGGGGGAGGACAGGGATAGGAGTATAGGAGTTTTGCCCAAATATATAAGACATGGCTCTTGCCCTATGGAACAATGAAAATGTTTTCTAGTTGAGGAAATAAACCAGTATACATAGACAGCATCATAGTATACAAAAAAATAGGTGCCATGTGTAGTAGAGAATAAATTTGTTAGAGTAATTAAATAAAGACAAATTAATGACAGAAGAGTTAGGAAGTTTCAAGAAGTGGGACTTGAGCTGGGCCTTCAAGAATAGTTTTCACCAGGAGAAAGATGAAAGATTTGGAGGGTAAGAGGAGTAAGGCAGGTAAAGGCATAGAGAGAGGCAGGGTATGGGGACCACATATAGGTGAGGAGGAAAAGGTATGCCTAGCGTAAAGATAATCAAGTCAGGGGGAGCCTGGCTGGCTCAGTCGGTAAAGCCTGTGACTCTTGATCTTAAGGTCATGAATCCAAGCCCCACGTTGGGTGTGGAGCCTACTTAAAAAAAAAAAAAAAAAAAAGATAATCAAGTCAGGTATATAAGTTGTATACAAAGTTGGGTAGGTAGATTATAGAATTATAGATTATAGAAAGCCTGAGAGTCCGAGTATAAATAGCCTTGAAAGTAAAAGAAAATAGGAAGATTAGGACAGATTTTTAAAATTTAAATTCAATTAATTAACATATATCATTAATTTCAGAGCTAGAATTCAGTGATTCATCAGTTGCATATAACACCCAAAGCTCATTACATCACATGCCCTCCTTAATGCCCATCACCCACCCCCCTTCCCTCCAGCAACCCTCAGTTTGTTTCCTGTGATTAAGAAGGGTCTCTTACGGTTTGAGCTTTTTTTTTTTTTTAAATCTAAGAGCATTTTATTTAGAGGGAGATGGTTTTTAGTTGTTTTTTTTTTTTTAAGTAAACTTTATCCCCAAGGTGGGGTCTGAACTCATGGCCCTGAGATCAAGAGTCTCATGGTCTATCAACTGAGCCAGAAAGCCAGGTACCCCAGATTAGGACAGATTTTGAGCAAAGCAGAAGAGTTTAGGGAAGACTGGCTTTCCTTTCTTTTTTTAAAAGATTTTATTTATTTGAGTGAGAGAGAGCACAATGGGGGGGGGGGTGGAGAGGGAGAAGCGGGCTCAGGGAGCCCAATGCAGGCCTCAATCCCAGGACCCTGGGATCAGGACCTGAGCCAAAGGCAGACACTTAACCGACTGAGCCACCCAGGCGCCCCAAGACTGGCTTTTCAAGAGAATGCAAGATTAGAATAACAAACCAGTCAAGGAGGCCAGCTAGGAGACTTTGGAGAAACCCAAGAGTAATGAAGGTGGTGGAAGGAACAGAACAGAGAGAATGTGAAGAAAGAATAAAATAACTCAAGATTTTTTTTTTTTAGGGGCGCCTGGATGGCTCAGTTGGTTAAGCGTCTGTCTTCGGCTCAGGTCATGATCTCAGGGTCCTGGGATCGAGCCAGGCATTGGGCTCCCTGCTCAGTGGGGAGCCTGCTTCTCCCTCTCCCACTCCCCCTGCTGTGTTCCCTCTCTCACTGTGGCTCTCTCTGTCAAATAAATAAATAAAATCTTTAAAAAAAAAAAAAAGATTTTTTTTTTAAACAACTCAAGATTTTGAGAATACTGATACCACTGAATAACAAGGAGAAGGAGAAGGTTTCGGGGACAAGGAGAGAAGTTCAGAAATGGGGCATGGGGGGCAGGAAGATCTGAATGACAGAAAGACAGCCAAGTAAGTGTTCAATAAGGGATTGGAATACATGTCGGACACAAAGTCTCAATTTAGAGAAATGAGAATTATCAGCCTCGACAGGATAACTGGAGTCATGTGCAATGGGATGAGCACTCCAGAACGGAATGCAAAGAATAACAGGAAAATACTTTCTCTCCTTGGGACTATCCTGTACTGATTTCTCTCATCACTCTTGGAGACTTGGCATAGACCTTTCCACCTTGGAAATAACCTTTCCAACTTGATAACCTTGCCTCAAATGTATCTCTTTCATAAACTCTGATTAATTCAACTTAATATTCATTCTCTTAGTATTTATATTGTTTGAATTATTCACTTGTACTAAAAATTTTTTCACGTATATATGCCTTGACTTAATAAATTTAAGTATGTACTACCAGCATATATTTTTATACCATATCCATTCTTCCCTAAGGATTTCCTACAGGTTTTCTTAAGGATCATCAATGACAATGTCCCCACTCATGTCCTTTTCCAGGAATTATAATCTACAAGCTCCCAGCAAAGTGGCTGGTGCACACAGTAGCTATTCAATAAATATTTGCTGAATTAATAAGGATTAGGAGATCTGTAAAGGCAAGTTCCTTTCTTCACACAGAAAAGTATGGAGAAGGAGGTTCTCTCTTTCCTTCACTGTATCTTGGGTTGCATTTTGGCTAGTAATACTTAGAAAAATTGTGTCTTATCTGAGTTATTAACTGGTGTAATAACTATCAACTAAATCCCCTATTGGCTAAATACTGCAGTAAGCCTGCTTAACTCAGGCTAAATCAGAACCCCTCATAGTATCAAAAGAAAAGACCCACTTTGTTTTGTATGTCTGTCTAGTTAAAAATGGCACGACAGAAGTGCTGCATGATTTGAGAGCAGTTTCTGAGAATGCTCTCTCGAGAATGGCATATGTAAGCACGACAGTATCTAAACAACCAGCAAGAGGTTCCAGGTCACCCAAATTGGCTTAGAAAGTCCCATTGACTAAATGTCTTGTTTGAGCTTTGGAAATGTGCCCTCAATGCTGTCTGGGTTCACAAGGCAAGACGAATTTACAAACTGACAATCTGCTTGGGGGAAACTGACACCCAGTGGAAGAGAAGCAGCCAGGCTAGGTCGGCTTTCTTGCTTTCTTTTGTTCACCCCTTTACTGTGGGTAGAGAGAAATGTCAAAGGCGTCTTTTGTCTGTAAATCTTCCAAAGTCTTAATAAAAAGAAGGCCAGGAGGGAATAGACTGAAAAAGCCAAGACAAAACCTCAACACACCCACCTCAAAACTGCAGAACACAATCTTGTATTAAAACAGAATGGAGGGCACAACTGAAACTTGGGGGCTTGTAGTGTTCCTTTTTCTTGATTAAATGCAGATCACATAAGGGCTCTTAATGGGAAAAGGGGAGTAGAGCTCCCAGTACATCTGGTCCCTGGTATTAATCTTAACTGTCTGGTGATATCAAGGCATGTGGCTCTTGGGGCAGCAAATACCTGCAATGATGACTGAGTCAGTTCGGGCTGGGCCAAATTTCAATGTCATCTCATGCTTGTGTTTATGAACTGCCAGGTGGTCCTCGTTTGTAAATCTCTGAAACGAAACAGAAACAGAGATGTGAAAAAAAAAAAAATAAGCGATTCAGTGCCCTTTTATAATGTCCTACCAAACACCCTGCAATAAGGATGGTCCCTGGACAGAGGGGCTGGAGAGGGAATGGAAAGGAGAAAAAACTGAAAGTGATGGAAAAGGAGAGGAGATGGATTAAAGGAGAAAACGGGGAAGGGGAAAAAGAGGCACTAGAAAGCTGTGAGGAGAGGAAATGAGGAGGGCCGCGGCACCAACTGCTCTATGATATCAGGTCCAAACGAGAGAAGCGGACAGATTGCTGGCGAAGCGGGGTCCAGGCAGGAGGCTCCAGATGAAAGAAATGTTCAGGCGAGGCTCGTAGCGAACAAGGGGAAAATAATTTTTAATAACAATAATAAAGAGAGAAGAAGGGAAAGGCTGGACACTCGGTCATCACAAAAGTAGGAAATTCAGAATGAAGCTCTCCATGGTAGGGCTGAACTGGACTATTTATGAGGGGGCTAACAGGGAGATAAATTATGCAGGATGAGGAGAGCCATTTAACTTCCTGGCCCCCACAGTGCTGCGGCAGGAGCCTGCCCAGCTATTTGGCTCAGGGTTTTAATGAGCCAGGATGGAGCTGGAGAGGACAGAGGCCCAATGGCCAGCAGTAATGGCACACACCAGCCCCATCGGCCAAATGCTGTCTTCCCTCATCGGGCAGCCCGCCTGGGCTCCGTCAGCCATAAAGGGGCCAGTGAAATGCTGCTGGCTATATAATGACAGAATAAAAATGCAAGCAAATTTTTTTTTGTTCGGGTAGGGAGAAGCCTGTAGGCAGGATGAGGGAAGGGAAAAGGAGATGGTATAGAGGTTTTATTTGTTAGGGGTTTGGGTGAAAGGCCAATGAAAAGGTGAGGCTAGGTCGGCCTCAGTTTATGACATCTAAGACAGGGATACTGGACAGTAGTTTATGCTCCCACCCCTTCTTTAGGGCGGGGGAGGCGAAGAGAACAGATGAACAGCAGTAATTCAAAAGAATGATACCCTCAAAATTCCCTTTGAGGCTGGCTGGCCTGGTTCCTTCATTAAAACATGCCTGCAACACAGGAACAGCTTGGATGCCGCAGCTTCCCACAGCTCCCTCACCAGCCAGCCTCTGAAACATGCTTCTGTTTGTCTTTTTGTTTCTAAAAATAATGACTGGTTAGTCCCCTCTTTTTACTTTCCTCATTAGATACACACACTAAATACCTTTAGCTCTTTTTTCCACAGTGCTTCCTGACTGCAAACCAAATAGACAGGAGCTAGCCCCACCCATCCCAGCTCCTATCCATTCAAGAAAGTGACACTGAACTTCAGTTTAAGTTCCTTTATTTTACCTGGAAGTAGATACTTTCCCCAAATTTGCTGTGAGCCCTATCACCACTAAAGCTAGCTTAAGGTGTAAAATCCTTCCAGGCTAGGTCTACAGGCCTGAGGGGAAAACTGAATTTTCAATTAAAAGTATGAAGAATCAAAAAGTAAAACTGTCAAAAGACTGCATGAGTGGTTTCTGATGGATCCAGGATAAAACTGATAAAGTATGGGGGAATTTAGCCAAAAACTTTAGTTTTCTCTATTGCTGGTTAACCCTAGGCATCAATTGTTTCCTTCACAGATTTCTCCCTCAGGAAAAAAGGGTGGGGCTGGGGGGTGAAGAAAGGAAGAGAATAGTCTGTTAACCAGGGGTATGATATCTGTAGGTTAAATAAGTCACTCTTGAGGTTCTGGGATTGCCAGGTATTTGGTAAAAGGAAGTGAGCAGAATCTGGTCTACAACAAAGAAAAACCATCATTTTAGGGGAAGAGGAAGAGTAGTGGATTAGACAGAGGTATAAAATTTCAAAACGTATTGGTAATGTTCTAACAATCTTTTTCAAAAAGATGCTTGTAAGTATATTTCAGGGAAATTTCATATAGGTAGCTTGAAAAATTTTGCACAATGTTCTAGAATCTAGAAGAATGACTTTCAAGCAAAAGTCCTTTTCTAATATCAAAAATCAAGTCTGCTCAAAACTGAGCTGAGAGAAAGACTTGAAACCTCCATCAGGTTTTACTCTAGTTAGGAGCACTTAATATTTTACTTCACATAGGGGCGCCTGGGTGGCACAGTCGGTTAAGTGGCGGACTCTTGGTTTCGGCTCAGGTCGTGCGCTCTCTGGGTCATGAGATTGAGCCTCATGCAGGGCTCCATGCTCATCATGGAGTCTGCTTGAGTTTCTCTCTCCCTCTCCTACTTGTGCTCTCTCTCAAATAAATAAACCTGGGGCGCCTGTGTGGCTCAGTTGGTTAAGTGACTGCCTTCGGCTCAGGTCATGGTCCTGGAGTCCCAGGATAGAGTCCCACATTGGGCTCCCTGCTCAGTGGGGAGTCTGCTTCTCCCTCTGACCCTACCCCCTCTCGTGCACTCTGTCTGTCTCTCTCAAATAAATACAATCTAAAAATAAATAAATAAACCTTAAAAAAAATTTTTTTAAAAGGCAACTCCCCTTCTGTTATAATTTTGCTACATAGTCCCGACTTGTTTTATCTGTCCTCTAGTTCTGGTTCCTCTCTGCCACACACCCCAGCCTGCACTCCCTTCCCTGCTGCCCTATTCTCCCCCTTGAGCTATTCATTTTTTCCCAATCAAAAGCTGGGCTATGAAAAGAATTGAAGGTGGCCAAAGGGATTTCCCACCCATCAGCATCTCAGAGGGCCTGATAGCCATGAACATGGAAAAGGAAAAAAATTACATCTTTATTCTTACTAAATTCTGAAGTTTAACATTCCTAACTCGTAATAGAAATCACACATATCTTCTTATCACATATATCAAAATATCCTTTATACTCATCACTACTTTGAAACTATGGGAATCACAAGACCTACCACTAGAACTTGTTATCTAATGCATTAATTAAAAAGCACACATATGACATTATCAAATTTTTAAAAAAGATTTTATTTATTTATTTATTTATTTATTTATTTGATAGAGAGAGACACAGCGAGAGAAGGAACACAAGCGGGGGAGTGGGAGAGGGAGAAGCAGGCTTCCCGCTGAGCAGGGAGCTTGATGTAGGGCTCGATCCCAGCACCCTGGGATCATGACCTGAGCCAAAGGCAGACACTTAACGACTGAGCCACCCAGGCGCCCCTGACGTTCTCAAATTTTTAAAAAAGATTTTATTTATTTATTAGAGAGCGTGCATGCGAGCACATGCACACATGAGCGAGGGGAGGGGCAGGGGAGGAGGGACAAGGAGACTCCCCACTGAGTGGGAAGCCAATGTGGGGCTTGATCCCAGGATCCTGAGCTCATGACCTGAGCTGAAGTCAGGAGCCTCCCAGGCACCGCTACATTATCAAATATTTTAAAAACATTTTTGGTAACTGTATTTCAAAATAATTGGTTTCCTTTATAATCAATCCTATGTATTTTACTTTATTAATTTAAAAACAATATTCTGAAAAAAAAATAAAAATAAAAACAATATCCTGAACGGGGTTCACAGGCTTCATCAAACTACCAGTGGGGGTCATGACATCACAAAAGTTAAGAATCCCTGACTAAACTAGGTAGTGAGCTTCTGAGGAGACAAATGGGCAGAATTTTAAGAAGCAGAGCACTGGCCTGGTCTTGGCTCCAGTCATCTCTAATAATTTCTTTTTTTTTTTTAAAGAGTTTATTTATTTATTTTGAGAGAAAGAGAGAGAGAGAGCGTGAGCAAGCAGGGGTAGGGGCAGAGGGAGAGAGAATCTCAAGCAGACTCCACACTGAGCGTAGAGCTCGACTTGGGGCTCGATCCCATGACTGTGAGATCATGACCTGAGTCAAAATCAAAAGTCAGAAGCTCAACCCACTGAGCCACCCATGTGCCCCTCTCCTTATAATTTCTAATACAATTTTTATATGGCTAGAGTAGGAAGGGGGAGAATAAAAGTATACTAAAGTTTTTATCAAACTGAATGTTGATCTGGCTATTATTTTCATTGTTCCTTATAGTCTTTCTCATTTATTAAAAGTTAACGCTCAAGGACGCCTGGGTGGCTCAGTCGGTTAAGCATCTGCCTTTGGCTCAGGTCATGATTCCAGGGTCCTGGGATCGAGTCCCATGTCAGGCTCCCTGCTCAGCGGGGAGTCTGCTTCTCCCTCTGCCTGCCATTCCCCTTGCTTGTGCGCTCTGACACATAAACAAAATCTTAAAAAAAAAAAAAAAAAAAAGTTAACTGATAAGGGGGAGCCTGACTGGCTCAGTTGGTGGAGAGTGCAACTGTTGATCTCTGGGTTATAGGTTCGAGCTCCATGTTGGGTGTAGAGATTACATTAAGGAAAAAAAATTAATAAAACCCTTAAAATTGCTTTAAAAATTAAAAAAAAGTTAACCCTTAAGAATTCTCTAGATCAGTCTTGAAATGTGTGCCCAGTAAACCATCCCTCTAAAAGCAATTTCTCAGTTAAAATATCTAACATCATTAAGTGATAAAAATTTTTACCTTATTAGATAGATTATTCTATAGAATTAAAATGGGTGGAGAGGCTCCCAAAAGGATTTCCTCTTTGAATTATTGCCCATTTAAAAATCTAACTCTCCTGGGGCGCCTGGGTGGCTCAGTCATTAAGCGTCTGCCTTGGGTTCAGGTCATGATCCCAGGGTCCTGGGATCGAGCCCCGCATTGGGCTCCCTGCTCAGCAGGAAGCCTGCTTCTCCCTCTCCCTCTCCCTCTCCCCCTGCTTGTGTTCCCTCTCTTGCTGTGTCTCTCTCTGTCAAATAAATAAATAAAATCTTTTAAAAAAACAAAAAATAAAAATCTAACTCTCCCATTTGTTAATACCCTTAAAGGGTCTTCCTTTGTCCTTTGGTCTTACCTATGACTAAGGTTTTGGCAAAGAGCCACTCAGGAACACTAACTCTGGTTGTAGGGTAAATAATGATAATTTTCAAGGAATATGTAGATATTAGCCATCTCCAAGATAACAGAGGGCTGATTATCATTCA